TTTTTAACCCTTTATGGACTACCAAATTTGTACAGGAAAGAAGCGACATGCGAAAATCAGTAATATCTCGAAATCGGTGTACATTAGCCAATACAACACCATACATTTTTGGAAAGTAGATAGGATAAGCTCCACCATCATCATCCTCGCCGCCGCTCTCGCTACTAGCAGTATCAGCAAATTCATCAGATAAATTGTTTTCTTGAATTTCTGGGATATCATCATCACTTTCACTGTCCACTTCGAACTCGTCGTCTTCAGACTCGTCAAGTGGGTCGCCAGAACTGTCCTCGTCAGAGTTCCAGTTCAGAATCATGCTGATGGCATCGTCCGCATCCATGCAGAGGACGTTTCCGCGTCGTGCCATGACAGTACTCGTACTGCAATTTTAGTTCTGCATGCTCACGCAAACTCTCAATTTTTTTTCTTGCGCGGCCAATTTGGTCAACATTTTGACTAGGGACCCCCAGCGAATTTAGCACCATTGGAAAGATATGGATTTTGTCTTTCGATTTGTGTAAAAAATATCGCCGAAAACGTGCGGTGCGCCCAGAAAAATTCGCGTTTCAAGTTTCGATCTTATTAGATCGAAACTCGTACAGTCCGTCCACAAAGGGTTAAGACTTGTGCCCCACCATTTCCCATTTTTCCATTTGAATATTTTTATATTGAATATTGGCGGGTTTGGCGTACTCCGCTACAAGTACTAGTTCATTACTACAGAACCGGTAGCACTAAATGGGTGCGTTTTAATATAGGTATTATTTAATTTTTCCAGGGTGATATTATTTAGTTCATAGAGAGGTTACCGATAACACAACTGCACCGAAGATTTACAGCACTAACGGGTGTGAGTTGGGGTTGATTTTATGCATTATATCTGGGTAGGAGATCACTGAGCAATGTCTACGGAAACAAGCGATGTGAGAGCAGTCTGAGCAGCTCACATTCATGTAATGGACAATATCTGTGCACGTGTTTCCATGTAGGACGCATCGTTGGCAACCGATGACTCCACTGCCGCCCCAGGCCTGTCCATGCTGCTGTTGTCTCCGATCAAGAGACTGCCGCAATATATTACCCATCTGAAGGTAGGGCCAGACTACACTCAGTGATCTTTTTCACAATACTTGTTAAGGCCACAACCAAGTTCCCTTTCAGCAGCCCGGTGAAGTCTAATGTTGCGTTGTACACGTGCCAAAGCTCTCTTAATTGCAGTAGTTACTTTCTTCCAAGGGACAGTTTCCTGTCTTACTATCTCTTTCAGCTCTCACCTCTTCTCCCTCTGTCCCCATGGTTGGCTATTATGTACATCGCTCTTGTTTCACTTGTGTTACAAGATCTTGCACAAACAACCACTTTAAAATATCAAAATGACCAGCCCCTTTGGAGTAGAAGACGTGTTCGCGCACTCTACGAGTAGGTTTGGCCTGGTCCCATAGCTCATGCTTTTGGAGCATTGCTCGTGACAAGCAAAGTCCCAGGTTTGTGTCTTGGTGGGATTTGCATTTTTCGTATTTTGGGTATCACCCTGAAGATGGGGGCCCTGTTCCGAAATACGTAAAAAAAATTTTAATGAAGTTGGTCGGTCACCGGGTGAGTGATTGTCACTGTGCTCATCTTCCTGGCCGAAAACGACGTACCGGCGACAAAGTGAAAACAGTGATGTGTTTGTGTTCATGACAAAAAAACTAGTATCAATTTTGAAAGGTTGATAATGGGGCCAATACACTCCCACCATGCCCCTCGCTGCGGTGCTAATTTTCTGTTGTTCTCGCATGCAGGCCCTGCTGAAAAGCACGCCAGAAGGTCACCCGGACAAGAAGGCATTCCTGCAGGCGGTCCAGGTGCTGAACAACGCCCTGCCCGCCATGCAGGATACCATGCAGGCGTCCACCAAGCTATTCGATAGACTAGCACCGGACCAGTCCAGAGCTCTCATGTGAGTGTCCACACACTACAGTACTGTCGAGCGCCGAAGAACTGGGGGTCAGCCTCCTAGCCAAGCCCGTTCCTATTTTCATGCACTACAGTCTATGCACAGTTGAGTCACCGTGTATACATTGGTATGCTGTGCTTGGTGAAATCCTAGCCTGGTCGTTCTTTGGCGCTGCGTTGCTCGGCGCCCGGCAGTACTGTACTAACAATGTAGATTGATTTCTTCATCACGTAAACGAAATTTCGTGTATGCCGGGATTTAACCATACATCCTCACAACGTCTTCAAAGTGGTCTCGGGGCGAAATTCGAAGGGCAATATTCCTTTTCAGTGATTGCTGTAGTCCAGAGACCACTTGGAGAGTGTTCTGGAGATGGTTATACTGGATAGCTACAGTGGAGTCTGCATAATATTGAGCAAAGCAAAAACTTGTAAGAGATTACATGTTTTCATGTGAGGAGCTAATGTGACGATATCCGCGTGCGTTTATATCACTATGACAAGACCATATCCCAGTGAGGTGGTAAGAAGCCAATGCTGGGAGCAGCTATCCCCCACACCTATCCAACCAGCATTATCCTAGTGAATGTCATCCAACTGGGCCAGTATGATAGTCTTAACAGTATTTCGTGCCGTGTGTGTGTGTACGGTGTATGTGTGTACGTACATGTGTGTGTGTGTGTGTCTGTGTGTGTACATGTGTGTACGTGTATGTGTGTGTGCACACATGTGTGTGTGTATGGTGGTGTTCGCTGTGAACCTCTCCAGGCAGGCAAATGACTCAATTCGCCAGTCACTGCGCTACTCCGCGCACGCTAAAGCAAGGTGAGTATGACATGAATTTTGTATTCTCACCCCCCCCCCCCCCCTCTGTATCCTTTTACTTCACTCACTCTCTTTCTATTTCCGCCCTCCTGTAGCGATCATTGCTGTCTACGTTACTGGGGTGACATTTGGATACCAGCTCACTTCTCTTGTCTTCTCTTGTTGTCTGATAATTGGTTCAGCCATGCAACTCTGAGTCGCAACGGAATTTTCCCAAGGTTTTCATTGTGTGCCTTTGTGTATTTCCACCCTCCCATCAACAATACTTCAACACATTTTAATCACCCACATGAAGATCAAAAAGTATTTTGTATTTGAATACAGTGACCAGGCGAGAGCAAGGGAAATAACGAACTCATGTAGTGGCCTGTTTCCTGCGTTGTGACTGGACTTTCCCTAGAACAATTTTTTTTAATAGTTCACAAAGGGCTTCACAGTGTGAACCTCACGGAAACGATATTCTCATGCCATTAGGTGACATGTGTGTCCACACAAGTACAGTTCTGCTTCTGTGTGTGTGTGTGTATAATGTCTGTGTGTCTGTGTGTTTATGTATGTGTCCAACCGTGTGTGTGTATGTGCATTCGCATATGACTTGTCTGTGAACAGAGCTTCCCAACGTCGCTCTCGCCAGCGTTCAGTGGTTCGCAGCCGCTACTCTGAGCGTCCAGTGGATGTTGATGGTCTGGACATGGCAGCACCAGGGCTGAATAGTTTGTCGGCAAGAAGGCAAGCAAGCGGGGAACAGGATGTCCCCGAAAAGCCTCAGCGTCGCAAGCCGATTCGCAAGTAAGTAGTGTTTCTCGTTGCCGCACACACCCGGATGTGTGTGCGTGTCTGTGTTTTTGTGTGTGCATACTTGTGTGTGTGTGTGTGTATGTGTGTGTATGTGTGTGTGTGTGTGTGTGTGTGTGTGTGTGTGTGTGTGTGTGTGTGTGTGTGTGTGTGTGTGTGCGTGTGTGTATGCGTGTGCGTGTGTGTGTGTGTGTGTGTGTGTGTGTGCGTGTGTGTGTGAATTTGTGCGTGAGTATGTCTTATGCACATGAGCGTGTAAGTGTGTGCGCGAGCGCGCGTGTGTGTGTGTGTGTGTCTGTGTCTGTGTTTGTCTGCGTGTGTCTGTGTGTGTGTGTGTGTGTGTGTGTGTGTGTGTGTGTGTGTGTGTGTGTGTGTGTGTGTGTGTGTGCGCGCGCATGTATGTGTGTGCGTGTATGCGTGTGCGTGCACACGTTTGCAAGGCGGCTCAAAAGTATCAAAGTTAGAGAGCTCTGACTGCAGTTAACACTGCGAGCTTTGCACTAGGGCCGGACACTACTAGTACACTACCTGGAAAGACTACTGCTCAATCAGGCCAAGGCGAAGGAGCACGTTACTCAATCACTGTCCTATAGAATCCTCAATTACAATTACAGCATTGAGTACTACGCTCCTCGGCTTTCGTCATGTTGAGCACTCTCGGTAGGCTGCTCTAGTGCTACTGCATCGCGCATGGCCCTCTACTTTTCAAAGTGTGAGCACTCTGGCGCTAGAGCGACGGGACATCTTTGTGGTGCCCCCTTTGCACCATGGCTGGTAGCTCGGCCAATTTAGCTCGTAACTATACTGATGAGGTCTTTATGGCCGAAACAGGTTGCTGTCTACAACATTGGGAATTCTCAATGATTACATTGTGTAGCGATTGGTGAAATTTCTGTTAGAAATCCAAACCAGAAAACCGGCTGACATTCCATATCTCTCCCTCTGTGCAGAATGTCACTCAAGTACATGGTGAACATTTGGCAACAGCGACAGCAGGGACAAGGATCAGCGTCCTCCTCGTCCAGATCGTCAGCCGAGTCCGGATCTCACACCCGGACCAAGCGCAATCGCCGCGGACTCAAGGGGCTCGGCCGTGCAAAGACGTTCTCGGCCGGCGATCGGAAAATAGCCGCTGGGCATCGCATGTCCAAATCGTACTCGGCCGATTCGCTTCATAGCGACGAGTCATCGTCAGACGACCCCAGGCCGTTGACCAGGAACGGCAAGAACGCCTTCCAAACGGGCAGCGTGTTTACGATGCCCGGCCGATATGACAAACAGGCACGCCTGCCGCCACCCAGCTCCTCATCATCATCCGTGGACTTAGCAAGTGACAGCAACAATGGCGGCAAAGCAGGACGACATCACTGCGACTCGCCCAAAGCGGGGTCGGCCAAGCACTCACAATCGTCGGCACACGACAAGAAAAAGAAGGTTAAATCATCGGGCTCTTCCGAAGGTGGATCCAAGCACGACTCACCCCACAGCCATCTGAGCCAAGCCCGAGAACAGTCGGCCAAGCTGGCTTCGGAGCGGCTCAAGCTCACCAGCGACTCATCACCAGCAGCCAGCACTCCCGCTACGACGGGTACATCACCATCGGAAAGAACGCAAGTAGACGACGCTGCCTCAAACATCGCCATCGCACGCAATTCGATGGATGGCGGCCAAGTTCGACACAACCGCAGGAACAACAATTCATCCGGTGATAACGCCTGCAGCAGAGGCAAGAGAGGCACTCCTGCAAAGCGCAAGGAATGCCAGGAATCCATGGCAACGGAAATCATCGATGACTGCGACAGGATGACAAACGCCATCATCAACGAATTCAGCAGACAAGGTAAGACAATTAAGACCGATTAGTGTTCCCTATTGTAACTCCACTCTCTCTGGCGTGGATTAGTCGCTCATGGCGGCAAATCATGCGTGACAGATTCAGAATCTATCAGTCAAACATGTTCTAGTCTCTGGCTGTGTATGTGTGTATGTGGGGGGGGCGGGGGGGGGGTGCGGGTGCGTGGGCGTGTGGGTGCGCGTGTTTGTGCTTATATTTTGACATTAATTTTATCTGTGTGTATCTACATGTATCAATTTGTGTGTGTGTGTTTGTGTGTTTGTGTGTGTGTATGTGCGTGGATGCATGCGTGGGTGTATGCGTGGTGTGTTATGTGCCATGTGCGCGTGCACTTGTCCATTGAAGATCACGGCGGCTCCCCGCTACCAACAGCCAACAACACGAACAATCACTTCCAGTCACCCCACCGCACGCGCCAGGTGGCCATACGCGGCCCCAACAGGAATACGCCATCCGCGGGGAATTCCCCCTATCGCACGGCGGCGGGCACGCCGGGAAGGAAGCTTCCGTCGATGAAACCGAACATCCCGCCAGCACTGGCAACACCACCGGATCGATGTTCACTGGATGGCGGCGGTGGTGGTGGTGGTGATACAAACTCCACATGCAGCAAGAACAGCGCCGCTACACCCACGCACGCCGCCATCGCCAAGGTCAAATCCGCACCTCACCCGCTCAAGATCGCCGGCGCCGTGAGCAGCCTCCCGCAGTCGCCCCTCAGCAAGAAGAACTCCGTGGCAAGCTTCGGCGACGTGCCGCTTATCGGAAACGGCGCCGTCAACCCGGTCACCGTCGTCGGTGGCAACGGTGAGCTGCCGCACGGCATCGTCGGCACGCCAGTCACACTGCCCTCACCGGTCACCAGTGCCACTCACATGCAGAGCAGCAGCACGGACGCACCACTATCCGACAGTGTGTTCACGCCATCGCCTCCGATCATACAGCACCAGCACGACGCTAACGGCTTTGGTCTCAGGTCGCCCGAGTTTCACGCCGCGGTCGCCGGCAAATCGGCTCCCTCGTCGCTACGGCGACGCCGCGGCCTGACAGTTCCGCCATCGCCGGCGGCGCTCGTCGCCCCCGCCAACCACGGCGCCATGACAACGCCAAACAAAGACGCCAAACTGGCCTTGTTCTCGCTGCCGCAGCACCCGGACTTGTCGTCGCGCCACGCCCTGACCAACGGGCTGGCGAAGAAGCTCGCGCAGCCCGGATTCTCCTATGTTCCGTCTGCGTCCGGCCGAAACATCCTGATCGTCAAGGGACCGAAGAAGACGAAAACCGTTCCCTTCTTCAAGCTCAAGTTCTGGAAGAACCGTGGAGCAGGCGGAAACAGGAGACAAGATCAAAACAACACGGAAATTTCAGCGTAATGGCAAGCTCAGTTTTCAGCAGAGCCGGCGATGCTGATCTGTAACCCGATCTGGGATATTTCGCCTCTTTTCAGCTTTCGTCATGCATCGGCAGTACGACCTCATCACTGGAACCAAGGACACTAATATCGTTCCAAACGAATTACAGTACAGCCCCCCCCCCCCCCCCCACACACACACCACACTGGACTACAATTACATCATCAATTACGTCATCAGCATCAAAGCCCCCTTGGCACATTGTATTGCAATTATGGATTACGTCATCGGCATCAAGCCTCACGAACGATCATTGACACACCTAATCATCACCCAAGGACGACTGGAGACCGCTAGATAGACAGACAGGATCGAAAACAATACTCACATAGTATTAGTCTGTACTGATCAAGGAATGACCTTTACAGCAGCCACCCCGTCCCCAACCTTAAAGTATACACGTGAGGTGGCACAGTTTATTTCCTATGACATCGTCCTATGTGCAAACTCTTGACCACGACCTAGCCTTGAGCCCGCACTAAGTTATACAGTCATTGAACACACACACACACACACACACACACACACACACACACACACACACACACACACACACACACACGCACTATTGAACACACACACACACACACGCACGCACGCATGCACACACACACGCACGCACGCACACACACATACACACACATAATGGTGTAAAGTTAAAGATTCCGCCACAGTAGAGCTATCACACATGCCTACAAATCATGCTCCAGACGTGCAGACGTTTTACTATAATAATTATTATGACTGTATTGTTACTGCCGCGTATTCTCGACTGTTTGCGAGGCTGCTCATTTTGCTGCAGGCTCTGAGCACACCCTGAGCACACTCTGAGCACACCCTGAGGGGGAGCAGCATAAGCCTTTTGCGCGTTGTACAGATGCACGAAATCCCGTAGTATCCCGTAAACAGAATGGGTGTTTCTCAATGTGCAGGACCCTATTGTGGTTTTCTGCTATTTCCACTAAGAAATGGCGCTGAAGGCATTTCAAACGAAAATCGTTTTCTGACAAAAAAGGACTAGCTAGGTCTTTGTCAGAAAACGATTTTCGTTTGAAATGCCTTCAGCGCCCATTTCTTAGTGGAAATAGCAGAAAACACAATAGGGTCCTGCACATTCAACACCCATTAGGTTCTACGGGATTCTACGGGATT